ACTACGGCAATTGATTATTAAAAAAACGATAAAGGGTAGGTACGTTATCTACGAAGGTACTTTATCTCCGAGAGGAAAGTCGTATAGGAGAAATTGAAATATCTTTCTCGAATATTCGAAATTTCTATAACGTAGGCAGTAACATTTCATTTCATTTCTTCCTGCTTAAAAATGTTATTTTTGTCACTTGTGGCTACTCACGAAAGTGGAGTAAAAATATTTAATTACACATAGGTCACAAAATAGTGATTTACTTAACAAGGGCGCGAAACAGATGATTCACGCACGAGTCGAGTTTGTCGTCCGAGTGTAGCTAGGACGACAAAGAGACGAGAGCCCGTGTTGCGTATGCTATTTTTTAACACGCTGTGAGCGAAACGCAAATGCGTAAAATAAAGGAATATAAATTAAATATCAAATAGCGAGAAATACGTTACAGGTACAAAAGTAAATAGATTCCAGTCAGTGTTGTAACACTATTGTTTGTAAATAATAAATGAAGACGTTGTCAAGACGAAAGACAATTGCGAATCGTTACAGATGTTTCGCACACGCTTCACGATGTTTGGCATACGGTGAAAAATTGCTGTTTCGGACGGAAAACAAGTACGAAAAACCGCACATCGCGCACGGCGTGTTAAAAAGGCATTTACGCAACGTATTTTTAACCATACACGTTTAACCTTCCGAATACAAATAAAAGTGCATTCGACACAACTATATTTACATCATGACCAACAGAGTTTGTAATACGATAGTTACCAATAACCTTAATGCTATTACGTTAATAAATTAAATTATTGTCAATGCAAAATGTTTTAAACTTCTGTTTTTGATTACACTCAATTTCCTATTAATGAAATACCTAAATTGATACTTAATTGCAAAATGTGCATAAAATGTCCAGAAACAAATGTGCTTTATGGATCTAGTAATCAGGACGGAAATCAATTTAAACGCAGGCCTTTTCCCCAATGTCACTTCTTGCGATCTGAAAAGATGTGAGGAAATAACAAGGCCTCGCAGCCTCTAACTGGAAGTTCACTAACTGGCTGTTCACTCTGACGCGTGCACCCAACACCGACATTTAGTATTTATTAACAGTGTACTCTTAAATACGAGTTCCCAATTACGGGATTCACGTCATTTGATATCTTATTTTTATTAAGTATAGAATCTTACGACTGAATTAAATGAAAGAAACATCACAGACAGTTTACAAGAACCCTCTTCGTAATTACAATTTATTTGCTTCAATCAAATATATCCCTATATTTCGACGAAGATACACGGGTGGAATCTTAATTCATAATTTCCGTGGGAATATACGTAATACACTTGTTCTACGAGGCATTCAGTATATAATTATTCTTGGGAAGATGCATGGGATTATATAATGTTGTGCATTTTTCCATTTCTTGTTATTTCCTTCCACGTTATATTCTCTGCAGGTAACGTTTTGTTTTCCATTCTGCGGAGTTCGTCATGCTCTTTTAATTACTAGACTTCTAATCGCCAGTTAAACCCGTTTCCAATGAGCTCTATGTATTCTCATAGCACGCATAGCGTAAATGATCGATGTTACTGTGAACTGTAAGTCAAGAATGCACTAAACAAGTCATGAACACAAGCTAAGATTACGTAATTTCCTTGTTTACTTTCTAAACCTGCTACAAGATACCAATTAAATTAACAATACTGGAATATATTAAGGAAGCTTTTATATAGTATGCTTGCAACAAACCATTTCACAAAGAAATTAGATAACAGAGAGTTTGGAGGTAAGGTTCTACGGTAATATATTATAGGTAATAGAAATTGTGATAGAACCATCCGATTAAAATAATGCGATCACAGAACGAAAAGTTAATGATATTACTATCATTGATTCTAATACGTTTGGGAGAGTTTTCGTAATAAACCTCTCGCCGCACTGTCGAGAAAATATGAAATCATTTGTACACGTGTTGTTAACACGAAACCTTTGTTTAGCAAAACTAAGTTGACGCCATTGCAACTATCGCCATTCACTGACAGTGCAAAAGCTCTGCATCACACTGCAGTGACGCGTCGCGGCCTGTACGAGTATCTCAACGCCACTCTGTCCCCGCAGTGGCAAGGCAAGCAACGCGACGACGGCGTCGCGGCGGCCGGCGCTGCCCAGGCGCACGCTGGACTCCAACGAGGCAGCCCCGCCCACCACCACCACCACCACCACCACCAACTCTACCACCCCCCTGCGCCGCTACCCGGGGCTGCGCCGCCGCCCCACGCCCACCGC